GGCATGCCTCAATACAGTTCCTTATATTCTTCTTTAAGCCAAACACGAGGTGTTACAATAAACTTTATTTGACAGCTGAGGTTTTAGTTTGCCTTCTTCAGAGCCTGAAATGGTGCAACACCTCCAATACTCTCTTAGAAGAAATTACCAGACCTAGATTTCAATCGCATCAAGCACAAAATCAGCTCTCAACATACTCACCGCTTTTTATATGTGCTCCATCGAATGATCAAAGTGGAGATCACCGGAAGGAGATGACACAGGCTCGTAATGCATCCTACCCATCTAAACAACAGTCTTATATACTGAATCTAATCACGTGTGATAACGAGGCATTCCTCCCTGCGGTTCATAGTTGGATTGGTGGTATTAATCCAAAGTGCTTTAAGAAGCTTTCCAGCTGATGTTTTTGTTCGTGCGCAAGGATGGTGACTTCGATCTCAAAATCAGCTCCGTCGTGTTTCTATTCTCCATGTGTCTCTAGCGGGGTGTTCCATCTATTGAGACGCTTGTCAGCTAGGTGTTCTTCTACGCGGGCATAGAGAAGCCTACCCGTTTCGCCAATATATTTATCGCTACACGCTTTGCAAGAGATTAGGTGACTGTACCTACGCTCGTGCAGTCACCGTCTCTGCCGTTAGGACATATTTTACAATCTTTCATTATACAGAGAGGGTCATATAAGCAGTTGCGAACTAGTTGGCGCTTTAGAGTATTCGGTGGTATTCCAATAAAAGCCACCGGTTGCTCTAAACCCGCCCTTTTCAAACAGCGTTTTATAGCTGTACTAATCTCATTTGAAAAAACGGGAGAATGAACGGGAATTTCCTTTCATTCGAGCTTTCGTTCGGAAGGGTACTATTTTCCCTAAACCTAAGCCGAGAGGCTACAAATTCGTATCCATTAGAAGTGGCTAATACCCGAGCCAATTTTACGGATTCTACTCTCTGCTCCTCCCCAGTACATACGCTGGCTGCTGTTCGAAACATGTCTCTACTAGCGCCTTTTTCATATGCGATGGATGAGAAAAGAAATAGTGAACGAGGATATTTTTACTACTTGACTTCCGGTGACACTTTGTGATGTAGCCGCTCTCGTTTAAGCTTCACTTCTGTGACGCTCAAGAAAGGAAGCCAAAGATCTTTTGGTATCTCATGGGTGAACTTTATATACTCTGACTGTTCATTCAACAATCTAAAGCAATTATCTAGCCCATCTTGAGTGGAACAGATAACCAAACAGTCATCTATATACCTATAGTAGAGTAATAGCCGGAGATCTATCAGTGGTGCTTCCACTTTCGACATAAAGGCAATCGCTACGCTAAGTGCCAGTCGCTGCCCCATTGCCAGCCCTTTGATTTGTGAGAAATAATTCCCGGACCATCTGGAGGATGAACAGTTCAGGAACTCTTTTATAAGGACCATGAAACTGCTCAATCGACAAGCTATACATGTTTACAGCTCCCTGGTGTTGTATATAAGCTCATGTGTGGCTTGCAATGCGGAGTCATTCGATACGTTGGTGTATGGAGCAGTGACGTCGAATGACTCCATTACGTACGCGCTGTTCGAGCTCGCGTTACGTAGACGATCCAGGAACATCTGAGTGTTTGTCAGATGGGCTGGAATGTGTCCTAGCAATTGAAGTGTTAGTAATTATTCGAAAGCTCAAATCTGGAGGTATTACTTTATGCGCTCTTTTTTGATAGGCCTTTTTATAGTGCTAGAGCATTCAAAATAAAATTTTTTTTCACATCCACCACCACCTTTTATTGTTACTTTGCTGAAAGCGGAAAAGTCATTTGAACGTGTAGAGGATATTTGTACTATACACGTCTTACATTTCATCTAGGTTTTTTCCAGAGCCGAGAAAAATCTCAAGTTCATTAGCGAAAATCGCAGTCCCCATGGAGTCGTGCCAGCGCAGCTGATGGGTCACCTATCGATTCACGGCAAACACACACACACTTGCCCACAAGCTAATGCGCGAGCTTTGTAAAACTCAGTCTTACTTTCACTGCTACATTGCGGTGAAACGGATTTTTCAAAATATAGGCACAACGTCGAAATCGTCGAAATTTACCCTATCGAATGGTTACGTACAATTCATGGAAAAAGCTCTTTTCTACGAGAAATATGCGTGTATGAAACACATAACTTTTTTTGCTACAGCGCCTGTAAAAAATCTTTTCCAAGAAATTGAGTATGTATAGCAGTGCCTGAGATTTAAGCCTTCGATTGGTTATTAACACTCTCATTAAAAGTTCATTCAACAAAAAGGGTCGTTTTTCCATTTATTTCCGTCTAACAGCTGAAGTTTCAGCCCACGTCAACAAACGAAGTCACAGACGTCGTTTCAGACGCAGCCTATCAAAAGAAGGGAGCCAAAACAAGGTTCGTTCCTGATCGAAATTTTCTAGATGTGAAACAAATGGCACGGTGGCCAGGGGGCCGATGTTATGATTTCTTAACGGAAAGCTTGGAGGAGTTCGTGGTAATCAACGAAATTCTACAGTTGGGAATCTTCTACTCTTGCTCGTAATAGGGAAAATGTAAGGTTTTCTGATGTCTGCTGGAGTTACGCTATGATTAACGGAGCAACAGGTGATATGGGTGGTGTGGCCAGATCATGACGCTGGTAGTTCTAATGATTCTAATGTCTAATAAATCATTGAAAATCTTCCCTTTTTCTAAGATAAAAACTAATTATCCTTCAGTTACTCGTTATGTAGTATAGGCAGTAAGTTCACCAAGCCTGAAGAAGAAGTAATGAGCGCCCTTTGAGCTTAGCATGCATTGCGTTGTTAGTTTCAGATGCACGACGATCGTACGGTATCACGCCCAGTTGTACGAGCGTACATACCACTCCCAGTCATCGATCTCATCAATCTCATCTGGATTATATCTCAATGACACTTGTACTAGCGTTGAGACCGTCATATACTAGCTTGTTACTCTGTGCACTTTTTCATTGTGACTGTGTTACGCAATTCTTCACGTCCTCCATTGACGATTCACTGATGGTGTTTTACCATATCAACAAGTTCACTTTTTGAAATGTTGTGCGCCTAGATGTGCCTTGTTAATCACTTACCTTCACTGTCACCATTTTAATGTCCATTCATATACAAGCTTAACTTAATTCGTACATCGCCTGCAAATTCGCTTAACTTGGAGGCTTTATTGGGATATAATCTTTTTTAGAGTTTACAGATGAATTACAAATTGTTTTTACTTTCGCGGATATATCGAGGCAATAAAGAATTTTTTATAAACATGAAGGAGGAACAGTGAGCGTAGTTTTCCATCCTCGTACCCTTTATAAACCGGTGAAAATATATTAACGACAGTCGCAGAGTGACAAACGGTAATGGCTCAAAATTTTTAGAAATTACGTTGATACAGATCATCATGCTTGTAGTTGATGCTGTCAATATGAAAAAAAACAATTAACCAAAAAGTTATGCTGCAAAACAGTTCCAGAAAACTGTTATGTACGTTCAGTTTCCTATCACTGACAGTTGTCAGTAGTGTTTCTGATAGTTTGACAGGTTGCATAGGCAAATGGTTGCCACTGGTCAAGGCCGTTAGACTCTTTTACATGTAAATGGAAAAGAGATCTGTACAATTGACAACGAAGTTTGACATCCTTCAACATCACTCACCACGCGCGATAGATTTAGATTGAAAAAGTCACTGAGAAAATGTGTGCTCTTATCACTTTACTTTATTTGATCCGTATTCACAAAGTTTATCTCGACTCCCAGCACTTCTGTATTTGAATTTTTTCGTTTTCTTTCTGAACTTCGTAGAATACTGATTGAGCACGTCTCCCTTCAATATTGAACAAAATCTGTTATGGCGTTCCATAGTCCGTGCATTGTTGACTGCCGGAGAGTGTTTGAGAATGGGGTCAGTCCCGCGCCGCCCCTTGACGAGCATCACCACCACTCTCTCGTGGCCCTCATCTACTAACTAAAGTTGAGCAAGAAGCGAAAATTAACAACAAAAAACACCAATAGCTATTCTTCATGGTATAAATCACCATTGTCCACGACTTTTTGCGATCGTTCTGCACGATTCCGGATCCTGGCGAGGCTTCTTGTGGAAAATCAAGTCGGCGGACCTTGTCGACAATGGTCAGCTGTGAATTGCCAAGCTTCAACCAAATCACGAATGTCCGATGAAGGTTCAGCTTTCAAAACGGCTTGCAAATCACTATCATCCAAGACAGATAGCCAACCAGAACGAGGCCAATCTTCGATAGCAAGATTGCTTTATTTGATTCACCTAAACCATCTACTCACTGTCAATTTTGTCATCATACCACCACCTTTACCCTCGTTAATCTCATCGACGGACGGAAGAAAACTTGAACCTTTTTTTCTAGTGATGGCTCACCAATACGCGCAAATCTACTGTTCAATAGGCATTTTGGAGCTGAAATTCCAAGTATCTTCTGTTGTGCAGATCCGAGCTGTCAATAACAGTATTTATATAAGTGATGCAGTGCGATTATATAGTATTATTGCACTGAATCACTGATTTACATAAATACTGCAACTAACACCTCGGAATTGCTTCATAAGAGAAACTAGTGCATAGTCCTATGTCGAGGTTGATAGATAGTCGGCCCTGGGAGCTGAAATTAATGAACCACATAAATATATACAGAACTGATATCTTCTATTTTACCGCTTCTAGCAGTGGTATGATGTTACTAATATACCTATTGATGTGGGGTGATAAGCAAAACTTTCGTGTCAGCGGGACTCAAACCCACAACTCACTCTATCCAGTAGCGCGTACTCTAACTCGTTGCAGTACTGACGATCGTTTTGCTCCCCACTCTTTCTACGCTACAATGCATGTATCTCTCAACAACCAGTTGTCAACGGAGCCTGGCCCAGGTAGTCGCTTATCGACACTGAACTCAATTATATGACTAGACGTTAGATACATGCATTGTAGCGGAGAAAAAAATGGTGAGCAAAACGGGCATCAGTAGTGCTACGGGTTAGAGCACGCACTCCCTGTAGAGTGAGATGTGAGTTCGAGTCTCGCCTGATGCGAAAGTTTTGCTTATCACTTACATCAATGGGTGTCCGTTCCATACAAGCATTTCAATGAGTCAACATAATGACTAGTAAGACAAACTTCAAGTTCTCACAAGTGCTTTAGGAAATATATCACGCCCATTATTCCTACATCAGGCGCCACTTATAATAATCAATGACCATTTTCATTTCGTTGAATGCATGTTGATACCGTCCGGTTATAAGGAAAGGAATGAATATTTGATCTCATTCGCGGGACAGAAAGTTTTCGTAGTAATGATAGCAAAAATTCGGAACCTTAAATCTTTGGCTAAAGCTGCACGTATCCTGTTTCCAGAAAAATATTTTTATAGCGCTGTAAAGTTCAAAATTAAAAACCGTTCTCTGCAGTGCAGCAGGGAAAATAAGATTGAAATCGCATGTTTGAGCATGCGGCACTTGACCAATCCACGGGTTGCTGGATGAGGTGGCAAGATGGGCTGACGCGATGATTTGTCGATCTTCGAGCACATAAACGTTTAGTGGAAATCCCGCAGTATCTGAATGTTTTCGAATTATTGCCGGAAACAATTAGAAAGCTCAGTTGTCCTTAACTCCATCAAAGTGATCATAAGAATGATTGATTTATCCGCATTCATGGCACAATAAAAGTGTTTGAAGTCTTTTTTGTAGCAGAGTCCGACTAGGAAAGTGGAGAAAGAAGGATTTACCTTTATCATTATCTAGTATTTTCGGTCGTATCGCTTACACCGCATCCTGCTTCGGGGAGTGATATGTTATCTGATTGACTCCAACTAGATGACAGGGAACTGCAGAAAGAAGGATTTTCTCTTATCATTATCTACTACTTTCGGTCGTATCATTTATACCTTATAATGCTTAAGGGAGAGATGAGCTATCTGAAACACTACAATTAGATGATAAGGAACTGCGGAAAGGAGGAATTTCTCTTGTCATTATCTAGTGAATTCGATCGTATCATTTAGACCGTATCCTGCTTCAGGGAGTGATATGTTACCTGACTAACTCCAACTAGATGATAGGGAACTGCAGAAAGAAGGAACTATTCTTATCGTTATCTAGAAAATACGGTCGTATCATTAAAACCTTATCCTGCTTAGGGCAGTGATAAGTTATCTGACAAGCTACAATTAGTTGACAGGGAACTGCAGAAATAAGGAATTCCTCATATTATTATCTAGTAGTGCCGGTCGTATAGTTGATACCGCCTCCTGCTTCGGGGAGTGATATGTTATCTGATAAACTCCAACTAGATGATAATGAAGAGCAGGACATTGGAATTCCTCTTATCATTATCTAGTAGTTTCGGTCGTATCGTTTATACCGTATCTACCTTAAGGTAGTAATATGTATCTGGCAAACTCCAACCAGATGATAGAGAACTGCAGAAATAAGGAATTCTTCTTATCATTATCGAGTGAATTCGAGCTAATCATTTATACCGCATCCTGCTTCGGGGAGTAATATGTTATCTGATTATCTCCAACCACTTGATAATGAAATGCAGAAAAAATCGATTTCTCTTATCATTATCTAGTAGTATCGGTCGTATCGTTTATATAGTATCCTGCTACGAGGAGTGATATGTTATCTGAAAAACTCCAACTGGATTATAGGGAACTGCAGAAAGAAGGAAATCCTCTTATCATTATCTAGTGAATTCGGACCTATCATTAATACCGTATCCTGCTTCGGGGAGTGATTTGTTATCTGGTAAACTCCAACCGGATGATTATGTGCAGCAGAAAGAATTACTTCCTCTTATCACTATCTAGTGAATTCTGTCGTATTATGTATAAGGTATCCTGCTCCAAAAAACATTCAGTATGCCTATGGATTTGGACTTATTGATATGGACTTTATTGATGGGTTTGACTGATATTTTGGATAAAAATTTCTACAGATTCACTGAAAGATTCAGAAACATGCGAGAAATGAGGTGTCACAAAGAATGCACTAGTACGAAGAAGCAAACGTGAAATCGTGCCAGAGTTAGTCGTAGGAAAAACAATTGCATTGAGATACCGGGTTTTTTTCGTGATTCACGAGATTCCTTTAATTTAAGTAATCCGCAGTGTATCGAAATGAGAAGGTACACTAACCGATGTTAAGAATGCAAGCAAGGTAGCGACGAGCAAAAGCTCTCTTGCTTTTCTTCTTGAACGTTTCAAGTTTCTCATCATGGTCGATGTTTTTGGAACTCCCTCAATCTCTTCACAATTTTGAGACAAACATTATTCATTGTTGTACCTTTCGCATAGTGTAGTCTCATTCCATTCGTGCAAAGGTAAGAAAACTCTTCAGTGATTTATCTCATTTCTGCGAATGCTTTGGAAAGATCATCTGAAAAGCACGAAGCTTCTTTTCTTTATACATGTTATTATATTACTAATTCAACGCTTCTTTTTTTTGGATATTTCAGCAATAAGAAAATGCTGCACAAACAAATGGATTCATTTAAATGAAGGAGTAAGTGCGTCTCTTAGATCAACAATCATAACAGTAAACAAAAAAGTATGTAACAAATACTCAGATCTGCACCCTTCATAAACATTTATACATTTACGAAGGCGCTTGTAAAAATTTCCAACTATTGTCGCACACGTCTCCACCTATTTCCGTCTCAAGCACGTGTCAAAGCCGTTTTAAAAGCGTCTACGTTAATGCGACGAGTAGTCGAGAATTCGTTCACTAGTATGGATCACGCGGAATGATCCATTGACTTAAGATCTGACAAGTGCAGCAGCCAAATGTCCTCGCTCCAAAAGCTTAGAAGCAGTCCTTAATAGATGGCAATCGTTGAGCGAGCCGAATGCCAGGAGCTCAGTATTGTTGAAACGCAGATCCGCCAACACCAAAGTACGGAGTATTCCAAGGCTCTAGTGTGCCCCATAAGACTCGATGCTGATAGCTCGCAGCATTGATTTTGACGTTTTTGTTACTGAAGGGAGGTACACGAAATTGTCGGAAACAGCACAAAGGAGATCTAGCCTGAAAAAGTTCCACCGGAATTTGTGTGATTATAGTATTTCACTGTCAGCTTTCACGAACAAAGATGGCGTTAGAAAACTTTCTCTACGATATGGAATTGATAAGGGAAAAGTTCTACATTAATCTTTCCCGTTTCACCATACCCGCCTCGGGCCCCGTATTTCCCACAGGAGTGAAACCATTTGAGATTCTACGTTCTGAAACTTGACTTACAATATAAACCATGGAAAAAGGCACAGCTCCATACACCCACTAAAAGAACATAGGCGTTGAGGGAAATTTAACACTGCAGACAAACTATCTCAAATTATCATTATGTTGACTTAGTGAAAAGGCATAGCGAAGCCTCAGCCAAGCTAAGGAAGCAAACTGAGTGTGAAACAAGATTTTGTTCCCGCTGCAACAACGGATAAATTTATTTTAGTTAAAACATACCGCCGAAATTGCGGAGATTTAAGCTTCTAAATGATTTCCAAATGTGTGGGACAAAACTCTTATTTAGCAAGGAAAGCTTTCGAAAACTTGTGTATCAAATTTGATACACATGGTCTCTCAGGGGTTAAGGAACCAGCACTAGAAAACTTCACTGTCACTGGCTTCACTTTGCCTGCTGCCATGGCTTACTCCACCGCAACCGATATACAATCTCGGGTCCCTGGTATTGCAACTAGCGAGACAGGAGCTAAGGGATTTGTACAACGCCTTGTTATGCAAACCGTGAGTTGTAATTCTTTTATGTCAAGAGTGTTCTTCTTTACGCGATTTCTGTAATGAAGTAGGAATAACGTTCCTATTTTCCAACAATACGTCACCTCTTAGCCCATGACTAGCGCGGCTTCACACAATTTGACTAAAAATCTTCAAACCAGTGGAAAAGTTTGCTCTTCAGAACTTGATGTTCTTGAAAGCCAAGGTCGTAGTGCACTCCTACCTGATGCTGTCATCTCGACCATTTTGAGTCAACTTAATGTAGTAGTAACTTACACACCACTGATGTGCCCAAAAGTTCATCTCAAAATACCGGATGATATGACTATGCGTGGTATTAAATATTAAACCATTTAAAAGATTTCAAGCAAAAAAATAATGAGTGTAAAAAGCAGAGCAGTCCGTGTTGTTTTTGAAAAGCAACTGATCGCCGGAAAAATATTCAGAAAAGGCTTATGAATTTGAGGATAATATTGCAATGGTGAGAAAATCACGAAAAATATGTTGACTTTCGAAGGGTTTGTTTCAATTTTTTACCTGAAAAAGGTACAGGCGTTAATGTGTTAGGTAATGGTCGGAAGATTTTTTCAATGAAGGAAGAAAAGCCTTCCTTACAAACCAGTTTTTGTATAAGAAAAGCGTGCCTCTATAAGGCTGTCAGCTTCTTCAGTCGACAATAAGCAAAGTGGTTGCATCATCGCCGGCAACACAGTGACTGGAATTTGCACTGCTATGGCCGATGCCGAGATGTGTATAACAAACATGCGAGTGACAATGGCGGTGTTCCCGACACACACCGGACAATTTCGGGATCTCTCTCGGTATGAACTGCACTAATTTTATATGAAATCGTTTTGAGAAGAAAAAATCTGTTAGACCACAAACATCATCATGACGAATTGGCCGAGAGCACTGTGGCAAAGTGTATTGAACAGAGCGCTTCTAACGTTGGCATTGGTGGCAAAGTGTATTGAACAGAGCGCTTCTAACGTTGGCATTGGGTCCGTTTAAATCGCATTTCTTCACGGCGATTGTTACTGTCGGAGGAAACTGATGTTGAAACTGTGATGTGTCTGAGAGAAGCTTTGTTCAATATATATTTACTACATAATTACAGCAGTAATAAACTGGCAAATTAAATGAGTCTTGATTAGTCAGAGTAATGTAAGAGTTACATTATAGTGTATGATGTGGGAAATCTGGATTTACTGCTTTTTTCCAAATAGCAGTTGAAAAATTTGCAAATAAAAACACATAGCAACTTCTTTTTGCCAATAATTTGAAAAATTTCGTGT